TATATATATATATATAGAATACTGGCTTTTGTCCACTGCCTGTAATGGACGGCGTGCACGCACGACCGGCGTCTGCCTTGGTGTGTCAGGTGGATGCGCAGGTGGTGTCTCCTGTCTCTAGCAGTAACGTGCAGACCTTTTGGCTAAATTCTTGCGCAGCTTCGAAGCTCGAAAATTCGCTCCAAGCCGGCTGGTCGATGCGCAGCTCGTCGCATAGACGGCTGAATTTATGCCGATCTTCGCAGCAGTCAATTGCGCCCACGTCCGTCCCTGCACACGAAGAAGACACACAACAGGAGACAGCAGCAACGCCAAAGAGAACTCCACCAAACACTATAGGGCAGCCGTTTAAGCCGCTGTATTTTCTGGTTTGCGCATTTATCCATAAAAGTGAATCACGGCGATGTTGCTCGTGATGTTCCGTTGCTGCTGCTGCTATTGCTACTGTTATTGTTGTTGGTGGTTTGGTTGCGCCTGTTGCTTCGGCTGCTCTTTGTTTACGCACCCATGATTCCAACGCCTCTGCTTCGAAGCGCATTGCACAAGTTATTCGGTGTCTGCCCCCCGACGGAGATGATGACGCCGCGGGGCTGTTCCAAGTCCCTGCAGATACACCCCAAATTATGCAATTGCGCAAGGAAACAACCTAAACACCAGCAGCAGCAGCGATAGCGACAAAAGCATCAATATCCTCAGTAACAGCAACGAAGCTGTGGAGGTTCACTAGGACAACACAACCTTGTTCGCTTTTATGTACAGCCACAGCAGCATCTCGACGTAGCCGGTGCTGCAAGCACCAGCAGCCGAGCAGCCGCAGCAGAAAGTAGACAGCAACAGCAGAAACTATACACAAGCAAGAGAAAACCAACTAACCAAATAGTTGATACTGTCTCCAACGTCAAGTCTTCAAAGTACAGCCTGTCGCTAACATCGTAGTCAGTAGAGACCGTCTCAGGATTACAGTTCACCTGCACGTACACCTCAGCACTACAAGTACAGATAAGCGCTGTGCGTACACCAGAGAACTGCGAGTACACAACTACATACGTGCATCGCGACATTGCTTGTACACCCTAAATATGCACGTACACCACAAATATGCATGCATACTCCAGCTATATTCAATGACAGAACAAAGATTGGCTCCCACCCGACCAGCCGTATCCAAAAACGCCCACTGAAGCGCCTCCCTATACACCCGAGGGCATTTCGTTCTGGCTCATTCTATGTTAGCCGTTTGCTGTTCTCTCTGCAGTTGCTGTGGAATTTGTGTCTCGTATCCCTTTACTAAGTACATCTACCATTTCTGTCATTCGGATTATGCGTTACACAAGAAAACAGGACCTCAGTTGTCGAACTGATCGCAGCCGACTACGCTAACTCATCGGGGAAGGATCACTTAAAGCCCAAGCGGTGTGCAATTCTGAAATTCCGCTTGCACCAACACGAGCAGCTGCAGCATCTGCATCAGAAGCAGCTTACCACAATCGCTCTGTGGCCGAGAGAGCGCAGTGTAGAAATGCAGGACACGGCCGACCAGTCAAATTCCACACTGCTGCCAATGCAGTAACACCCACAGCCTACACAAAGTGCAGCAACAGCAGCAGCCGGCGCAGGAGATGACGTAGGAGGCGCAGCAGCAACAGCAATTCATGCGGAGGCAGCAACAGCCAGCAACAGCAGCAGCATCTCCGTCTGCAGTAACTGACCAAGGACGACGTAGCAGTCCGAGTTGGGGGTTTGTTCGGCTTGTTTAGCAGTTGCTGCTGCTCGCGAGTTGCAAAGACTGCTAAGAATCGAACCCGGTTGTGGGGGGACGTAGGGAGATCTCCAGTCATAGTCTTGCTGCTCCTGTTCCTGCTGCTGCTGCCGCCGCAGGTTGCGGCCCCCCGGGGTCCCCGTCTCACTGCCGGTACCCCAAGGCGAAGAGGCTGCAAAACGGCAGCAAGAGGAGACACACGTAAACATAAGGCAGAAACAGGTGACAGGATGCAGGCTAGTATATCTGGTTATGAATACGTTTGTTTATCAGTGTGCGTGTCTGTCAATGAGTCTCCGTCTCACTATATCTGCTTGTCAATCCGTCTGTGTGAGAATGTGTTTGTTTATCAAAGTGTGCCTTTAAAAATATATCCTTTGTCGATCTGCTTGCCTAAACAAATCTGCCTTCCTACCAATCGACCCGTCTACCGAACTCTCTGTCTGTAAATACATATATCTACCAATGTACGTATCTATGAATATGTTTATCTGTTTAAATATCTGTCTACCACCATCTTTGTCCCCCAGTAGATGTACTAGCCCCTCATTTGTTTATCCACATATCAACTTAGCAAGCATGTAACACGACTGGGCGAATGTCTTCCATGTGTCTGTCAGTCGATAGGCATTTCGATACATACAACGCCATGTACGTGTATTGCAAGATCTATAAGGAGAAGCGAGCTTAGTATGCTGCATATTGAGAAGTGCGATTTAATGTTTAGGGCTAGGGTTTGTGTATCGTACATGGCGTGGGCTCTGTTTTGTGCAGCGGCTCGACGTCGTTCTCTTCTCCACAAAAGGTAAGGTAGAGGTAATTTGTTTGTGCTGGGAACTCTGCAGCCAACGTGTCAATTTGTTTAACAACAGGAGCCACTCCCAAGGCCTGTCTGTACACCCAAACATCTGCCTCTCGACAGCGGGGGCCCTCCGGCAGCTCCGCTCCGATATAGTTGGCGATCTGCCGATCGCTAAACCCTAAAGACAAACAGACAGACTATTCAATTAAACACAATACAATCCAATATATGTTCAGTGCAAAAAGAACAAACATATAGCCGCTCCATATACACACAAACACACGGGAAGCTTAATGGTTGTCTGTCTCGGGGGACCTCCCATTCGGCGATGCCAACTGAGCCTAGCTCGCTACCCACAACTAGCTAGCTGGAATCGTGCACGCGGATCCTGAGGCAGAACCCGCATGTGGTTCGGGGGGGGGGCCTACCGTATTTTTTTACGAAGATGAGGTCTGCCCTGGTGAGGTGATGCAGAGACTTGGTAGCTAGCTGCTCCTTGATCTGCTGAATGTGCTGCAGCTTGGCAATGAACCATGGGTCGATGCTGGTAAGGGCATGCAGTCGCTCTACAGAGTAGCCCTGGGCGAGTGCCTCTGCTAAAGCCCAAATGCTGCAGCAAACAGATGCAAAATAGGAGAGAGGTACAAACAAAACCCCTGAAGTAAATAGTTCCACAGAACAGCTAACGAGCAGACACTGGTCACCCCGCCATGCACAGTGCTAAACCGCCCAAAGCGTGGCAGCAGAAACAGAAACAAGCGAATGGCGACGCCGCCGCAAGGAACAAAAATAAGGGGAACACAGTTATGAAGACACCCCACGACAGAAGAAACGGAAATCTCGAAAGAAAGAATAAGAAGACAAAAGGACTAGTCCGCCAGAATAACAGTACGACACGTAGACAGCCACACACTGGGAAACAGAGACAAAAGGATCCGAAGGCACCAACGAAGAATAACAATAAGATGAACAGAAAAAGGCCAAAATGGAGAAAATATGGAAGTCAAAGAAAACAAGACGCACCGAGCAGCAGATGGCCGAGCCAATTCCTCCTCCAGTCTCTCTCGCGCAGAGGACGGATCGTCTCCCGCCTGGAGCGCACCACATCGAGGACGTATCCCAACACAGCTAGCCAGAGGCATGCGTAGGTAGCATGAGTTGCTAGGCAGCTACCTACTCAAGCTACTATCCAACTCCCCGGTTTGTCAGATTACTGGCAAGATCGCTCCAACACGACACATAGCTAGCTACCTAGCAAGTGATAGGTGAACACTGGGTAGCAAATGCCGCTAGATGAAGGAGTGGAAACAAAAGACAGCAGCAGAAACGGACAGGAGGAGACAGCTGCGGATACATTCGCTCGTCGAAGCCGTTGGCCTCCCCCTTGACCATCCTGCATTCACAGAGACGGGGACACCCAATACCCTTCTACAAAATGTCCAATGCAGACAGATAGGGTTGAAAGCTCAGGGCTTTCGGTTTTGGGTTTGCATGTGGGACATGAAGAAGTGTGACAGCCCATGAGGGCCGAACAGGGTTTAGGCTTTCGAGGGGTTTACAGACTAGTGTGGCCTATGGTTAGAGTTTCGTGAAGTTTATGGGCTATTGCGGTGTAGGGTTTAGGATTTGATACAGTTTAAGGCAGGGTTCAGGTTTTTAGGGTTTTTACCGTAAAGCCTTCTGAAGAGACTCCTCGAATGTTCGGCCGATTGCCATTACTTCGCCTACACTTTTCATAGCTGAGCCCATAAAAGGATCGGCCTCGTCAAACTTCTTCATGTCCCACCTGCAAACCCAAAACCGAAAGCTGTTAGCCTTCAGCCCTAAGCCCTAGCACTGTCATCGGCAGTTATTAAGGCTCAAGCGGAAAAAGACCGTCATTGATTCATTTGCTTCATTCATTCTTTAGGTCCACCTGTATGTATCTTGCTTGTTTTCTGTTCGCCTGTCTACTTGTTTCTGTTATCTCCAGAGTTTCTCCTTCGTCTCTCTGTCAATGTCTGTCGTTGCGACTGTGTGTGCCTCTGTCTCTCTCTGTCTCCGTCTGTCTCTCTCGCCCCTCCTGTCGCTCTGTGTGCCTGTATCTGCGTCTCCGTCTGTCTCAGTGTTTTTGTTCATTTATGTTTGCCTCTCTTGCGCTGTCTGTCCCTCTGTCTCTATCGTCCTGTCTGTCTCTCTGCCCCTATCTCTGTCCCTGCTTGTCTTCTTGGCGGTCTGATTCTGTCTCCTTACCTCGGCACTTTGGTCACAACGTAGTCAAATGCCGGTTCAAAGCAGGCTGAAGTCTCCTTTGTCACCTCATTGCTTAGCTGCAGCAAATCCAAACCTGAAACAGCAGCAGGAGAAGCAAGGTAGGCACATCGTAGCATATATGCAAAACGCAGCTTGCCCAGATGGAGGAATACTTCGCGATATATATATATATATATATATATA